CCCCCAGCACCACATGCCAGCCAGCCCCGCCCCCTGGTGGGCTGAGGTGGCCACACACACACAAAACAAACAAACAAACAAACAAACAAACAAACAAACAAATAAAGAATTGTCAGACCCCTAATGTCTGTGTGACTAGGTGATCTGAGTCCATGTTTCTTTTCTTTTATTTAGTTATTTATTTATTTTTTTGCAGAACCGGGGATTGAACTCAGGCCCTTGCATTTGCCAGGGAAGTGCTTAGTCCACTGAGCCATCTCCCCGGCCCCCATGTTTCTTTTAAATGGCATGATGGTATTGGTCCCCAAAACATCTTGTAGACTAGATTTCTTTAAGAGTCATACAGAAGGTATTTTGATTTGATTTTTATTTTTACCGTCTGAAGATGATATCTCCGTGTCTGGAAGAAAGATGCTGTGATCTAGATGGTTCTGGATGGTCTCGTACTCGCTACTGCAGTACTGTGCAGTGTGATTCACACCCCGGGGCCCTCTCCTGTGACACTGGCTCTCCCAGTGTCTGGCTTATGAACCCCACATACCTTTCAACCCAGTAAAGAGCAACTTCTGAGCTTTGAGCAGCAGTTCTTTGACCACATCCTTCTGCAGAGATGGGAAGAAAATTTTCATCAAAACTCCTAGCAAAGCACTGCAGCCAGGAAAAGCAGTCTTAGAGACTGTGTACCTGCAGCATTTTTCTACTAAAAAGTTATGTTCTGGACAAAGCCAGGAGGTGGACCTCAACCCACCCCAGGCCACTAAATCATTAGGAGTTTCAGTGACCTTCAGTACCTGTTGTTGCTTTAGGTGGCTTTGTAAACAGAGGTTTTGTGAGTTCCTGCTACGTGTCAGGCACCCCTGGAGGTACAGCAGGGCAGCTCTGTGCCTTCAGCACAAACACCAAGTTTGGTGGTGGCTAGGGCTGCTGCCTCTTTTGTACTGGCTGTGAGACCTGCCCAGAACTGGGTCCTCCTTGCTGGTGCTTTCCTTCCCTTCCCTCTCCCTGCACTGCTGTCTCCTGCTTCCCCAGAGTTCAAGTTGCCAATTCTTTGCACATCGAGTTCCACACTTGCTATGTGTGCTCAAGTCCTCCTCCTCCTCCTTTCACTACTGAGTTTAGGCACAATTTTGATTAAATCTCCTCTATATCTTCCAGTTGATGCTCTTTCCATTCTGTCTTCGTAACAATTTGGAAACTTTTTGCATAAATGTCTTTGTCTCCTGCTGGGGGTTGCTTCCACTGGGCACAGAGCTTGGTATATCCTATAGCTGCCTGGTGAGGTTGAGACAAAGGGAACACCAGGCTTGAGATATCTCCATGGTGTACTTGGCTAACTCATTATCACAGGGCTGACATAGGGGACCCAGGTTCCAAACCCGGAATCATAAGGTTGTTTACCTCTGGGCTAAGGCTTCAATCTCTTGATAACTTTTGCTTGATTTCTGTGTGTCTATATGTATCCTTTCAGCCCACACAGTGGCCTGTCACTTTCCAGAACTGGGCACCATGTTACTATTTCAGGTGACACTTATAAGGCCAGGCACATAGTAATGTTCAGTAAACACTTGTTGAATTAAGGAATAACAGGTCAAGATCAGATGTATGAAAGATGAGTTTGGTTGGTGACCCTTCTGTCAGTTTCACCTCTGTTGCTGGAGAAGGGGACTTGGAGCCTGGAGCCTGGCCCCTGGGCTCTGCCCTCTCTCTCTGCTCTTTTTTCTCCTGGGCTTTTCCCTAGTTGTGTCTGTGCTTGCCTCACAGAATTTACTCAGTCTGAAGAGCCTGGGTAGAAAAACCTCACTGGGAGCTGAGGCCACAGGAAGCTGGCTATATTTATGAGAGGCCCTTGCAAACAGTCTGATTAAATGTAGGTCGTCTTCTCTTGTTTCCACTGGCTCCCCAGGCCTGTTGGCATATCAGAACATCCAGGGTGCTACAGAAGGGAGATTCCAGGCCAGGCAGTGACTAAGTGTGGCAGCTGGGTTGGAGGTTGTCTGTGATCTAGGCTTCTTCTTCTCAGAGTCCCTGTGTCACTCACCATATGGCATTATTTTTTATATACTATAGGTGAATATGTTGAAAACTACATCAACTTACTAATTCAGGAGGCTTCACAGTGTGCTCAGATCTGTCAGGAAACAAATACAGAGAACTATTAGGCCCATATGAAAAATACAACTCAGTCGGAGAATTTATCATTTCACGTGCTTCTAAGGGAAAGTCAGTTATAAATCAGGGACTTCTCATTTGAGAGGGCAAACTTAAGATGAAGTTTAAAGAGGCTGAGTATATTTTTCTGATTTCCTTGTAATAGACAAGTATTTCCTGAGCCTTATGCATTATTGTGCTCATGTATAGGTAGGCTTTTCTGTATTATATTACATTTAAACATTTTTTAAAAAATGTATTTAGTACAGGGTCTCATTACACAGATCAGAGTTGTGATCCTTCCTGTTTTTCAGCCTCTCAGGTGCTGCACCACCATGCCCAGTCTCAATCCATGTCTCAGTGTGCCCTGGGGGCGGGGCCAGCACAGCAGGCTGGGGATCGTACCAGGGCCCCTGCGTCTGCCTAAGCAGGTGCTTTAATTGGCTGAGCTATCTGGTCAGCCCTGTATTATATTACATTGACAACAGAATTATATAGTCAGTCATAGGCAGTACCTTAAAGATTCAATGTTTACTATCATTTTGCCACTTGAAATCTTGCCAGTGAGTTTGATGACTAAGACCTGGAATAAAGTGCATATGCATTAAAATACAACACCTTGATCTGAATACTCAGAAAACATGACACACCATGAGATGACCAACATGCTTCCAGTTCAGGGCCAGAGTGAGGCCTGCCTGCTCTCCTTCTAGGCCAGAGGGCTTGCTCTACTTTCTCCTTGGGGGCTGAGCTGCAGAGTGGCTGCTCACTTTTCCTAATGACACCCAGAAACTCAGGGTTTGGAAGCAGCTCATTGCATTCAACGCTGTTCCTTGAAATTCCTTCTCATGGCTCAGTTTCTCTTCATTTCTCAGTACTTACCGATTCTGCCTTAGCAAAGATCTCACCGTTGCTCTTAATGGTAGTCCAGTAAACAATCCGGATGCTGTTACTGTCTGGCTGAAAGTTGATGGATGTCTTGGTGATGCTTGCCTCCATGTTACCTGACTGTGGTAAAGATGTTGTCCATTAGAGTGTGGAGAGGAAGAAGGACTACAGATACTGTGTTATCATTCATAGTGGGGACTTAGTGATCCTCTAGCTGAGAGAGCTGGCAAAGCTGTGATAGCCACACAGGTGAGGCCAACTTCCCAATATCTTCTTTTGTCTCATTTGTTTCCTTGGAGGGATGGGGGCATGTAACATGTCACTGTAAGCCTTGTGAAATGCTAAACTGTTTTTCTCTGTGGCCTTGTGGGCAGGACAGCTCTGTGTTGAACTGTCAGGGACAATCTGATAAGAACATATTGCATGTTGCTTCAACCTGGGTCTGGCACTTCAATCCCTGGTGTGCCATGCTGGCCCTGCTCCTGGGGCACACTGAGATGGTGACCGAGACTGGGCATAGTGGTGTGTGCCTGTAATCCCAGTGCTTGGGAGGCTGAAAACAGTAGGATCACTATGAGTCCAATCTGTGTAGTGAGACCCTTTACACCCTGTACTAAATAAATAAAAAAGAATATTTCTATCAAAATTCTGTTGTGAGAATAAAATGACATTATGTTATGATGCTCACCTAAATATCTGATACACAGGTAGTCTTCAAAAAGTGTTGCCAGGAGTAGAGGCCCGTGACTGTAACCCCAGAAACTTGGAAGACTGAGGCAGGTTTGCAAGTTTGAGGAAAGCTTGGGCAACTTAGCAAGATCCTTTCTCAAAAATTTAAAAAAGGCTGGAGCTATAGATTAGTGTACCTATGAGGCTCCTGGTTTAATCATCATGTAGTGAAGAAATATTTTACTGTTTTCTACTGATGGAAACATCTGATCATTAAGGGAAAAATGTGTATCTATGGCACTGATCAGATTGATCTCCGGAAGAATGTTCAGAATCCATCTGCATTCCCACCTTCTCACTCCCAGAGGCTGGCTGATGCACAAGCAGAGCTGTGCCGGGGCCACAGAGATGATGCTCACCTTGATGGAGCTCTGCTTGGCATGGTGCTTCACAATTATCTTGACCATTGTGCTGGACATAACTAAGGAAACATTGGCATCTTTAGGATGTGGAGTGAGACAACCTCCAGGCACAGGGACTCCTGTTTTGTCAAAGAGGGCTGTAACCTAGGGAGAGAAAAACAAAAAAGTTGGTAAGTCTGGGAGACAAGGCCGAAGCCAAGGCCTTTGGAGGGCTGGCTGGAAAGGTGAAGGGCAAGCTGGCCTGGTGAGTGTTGCATGGGGTGGGCATGGCAGGGACTGGCGCTTGACCTCCTGGCTGTGCTGTGTCACTGCAGGGAGAGGCAGGTTTGTGGTGACTTGATAATGGCCCCCATATAGGGCAGTTTGGAGCAGTCTAGCCTCTAATTTTCTAAGAAAGCCACAAATCATTATTCTCCAGGAAAATCCCCCATTTACTTGTAGATTCCAGGAAAGTATGTCTGAATTCACAATCCTTTTTTTTTTTTTTTTTTAATTCCTATCTATTTTTCCAACACAGAGGTCCTGGATCCTTCCTTCCTTTCCACCCTTAAAAGCTCATCTTGCCAAGAAATTATTTCCTGGATAGTTTGCCTCCATTTATCAGTCTCTTTTTTGGTATGCAGTCTCTGCTCTGCTTATAAACTTCAAGCATCCTATGGTGGGAGAGTTGGAAAATTGAGATAAGTGGGAAGAAAACAGATTCCCACCTAACATCACTGATATGCTTGCATGGTTCATTTTTATTATACTTTGTAAAATTAATAATACCTGCATAGCATTTCTACATACTGTGCCTACAAACTTTAAACATTTGGATTGGTCTTACCCTTAGCTTTGCTACTTCCTTTTAGTTTTTTCTAACCTCATCACAAATCATGTTTTTTTTTTTTTTTTTTTTCTTTTCTTCTTCAATGTACCTAGGTTGCTTCAGATGGGCTTACAGCTAAGTCTAAATCTAACTCTAACATGTTACCTGTTGGCTGCACTATTTTCTCATTTTGCCCTCCACGGAGGTGCAGAGGGTAGCTGGAAAGAGTTGATGCTCTCTGTGTTGTTGTAGATTGTCTTTTGAGCATCTAGACCTGTGCTGAGAAGTTCCTAACGGTGAAGACATGACTGTCTTTGTCAGCATGCCTCTCAGGACACTGGCTATGGGATTTAAAGGAACAGAACACAGGGCTGGAGCTGGGGGATGGCCCTCAGGTGTTGCCGAGCAAGCTTTGGAAATTGAGTCTTGGTTCCAGGGGTGGTGGTCTGAGAGGGGGTGATAGTTGGTTTGTCTTGTCCTGATCCATTTTATGAGATCAGCTGGGCCACCAGGCTTTGCTCAGAACCCATCATAAGGACAAAGGACACTTACACAGTAGAGGATTGAAATGCCTTCTGGGGAGGTCCTTGAAGAGCTTATGTGGAACTGGAATAAGCCAGTGGCTGCAGGTGAGAGGAGAGAGAGAAACAGAGAACACAGTCATTTCTAGTAGCCATTGTGCCCCATTTCTGTGCCTGGCACCTCCCTCCCAACTGGTACCAATGTGGATAGCTCCCACTCTCCAGGTTCCAAGCAGAAAGCCAGGACCCTTGCTGGTGGCTCCTTCTGATCTGGCAGGGTGCTGTGGGAAGGAAACTGGCCAGGTTTGGCATTTGTGTCCAGAACGTCCATGGAGTGGAAGAGATTTGCTGCTCTGTGACTTGGCAGATGATTTCCTGCCTCAAGTGTCTTTTTAAAAAAAATTTATTTATTTTATTTATTTATATTGTGTGTGTGTGTGTGTGTGTCTGGCCAGCTCAGCCCACCAGGGGGCGAGGCTGGCTGGCATGTGGTGCTGGGGGATTGAACTGTGGTCCCTGTGCTTTGCTAAACTTGTTCTAAGTAGGTGCTTTAGACTACTGAGCCATCTCACCAGCCCCTCAAGTGTCTTGTAGTTGCCGACCCACCATGTCCTATCATTCCCACCTCTTAGCATGTGTGTGAGAATTTTGAGGAATTTCTTGACTCTCAGGCTCCCTCCCAGTGGAGAAGGTTAGGACTGCTCTTTGCTTAGGCTCTGGCCAGGGATGTACTTCGTGGGCTGGGGACCTAGGACTGGGGCTGGGGAGCTCCATGGACTCCTGGGGAGAATTTTGTTCTCTTCCCTTCCTGGAAACTAAGTTAAAATGGCCTAGGAGAAAGTAATGAGCTGAGACATCTCTCTCCTGAGGGCTGAGTGGGAGGTCTCTCTTGCTCTGATCCACCCCCACCCCCCAGTGGTCTGCCTTGAGGAGCGCCTGCTGCTTCTTCACTGCTGTGGGCTTCCCCAGGGGGTTGTTTGTACTCACAGGTTTTGCACTCATTGAAGTCAGTGAGAACAATGGCACAGGACTCTGAGTTGTCCATCTATGAAGTAATTATCTGTGAGCTTTGTCAAGGAAGTCCACCTAGGCTGTTCTTAGCCTGTCTTTTTTTTTTTTTTTTTTTTTTAATACTTGCCCTTTTACTTTCCTCTGTTCTATTTTCTTGGCCTCTTTTTTGTCGTCTGTTCCACCCTCCATTCCAACCCCAGCTTGAGACATTGCCAGGCTTGCCTGTGGGCAAGTTGGGCGAGAGAGACTACTAGTCCCCTAGCGTGGGGACCCCAGAGAAGTTGGTGCTGAATTCCTGAGTCTCTCCTAGCATCAGGCCCTTTCTGAGGCAAGGGCTCCTCCTTGTCTTTCCCCAGTGATGTGGGCCTCCAAGGGGGTGCCCTCCCCATTTCCCAGGACTTACCTTCTCCTGTAACTCTACTGAAAACATTTGAGGGACGATGTCCTTCAAGGGCAGAGGCAAAGAAAAAGGCGCAGTGTCTGTGATTCTAGGAAAGATGCATGTGCAGAAAACAGCATGATTCTTCTGTTTCTAGATTTCCCTAAACATTAGGCAGATGGATGCATGACTGAAAAGGTGCTAATGACGTCCTGCTGCTTCATCTGTATTGCACCTGAGCCTTTTCATCTTCATTAGTACACCTTAAAGATGACATTGAGATACCTGACAGAATGACTAGAGCACAGGTGTCCATGCAGCAGCCCCTCTGGAGGAATTCACTTCTTCCATACCTGTGCATGCTGTTGGGTAGACTTGCCTTTGACTTTGTTTGTTGTGGTTGGGTACAGAAGTTAATGACTGACAAGTTACTGGTTGAAGAAAAGATAGTGCATATTCATGAGGGAATACTAGGGAGTCGTAAAGAACGAAGCTGTTCATATACCTGATGAAATCTACTCCCAGCTTTTTTTTCTTTTTTCTGGTAGTGGGGCCAGCTGGCACCAGGCAAATGCTCTGTTACTGAGCTGTATACTCAGCCAACAGCTGTGTTTCATTTTTTTTTTTTTTTCTGTGTTTCATTTTTGTGTGGAACAATAGGAGTTCAGAAAGAGCTTGGATCTGAGAATAGTTAGCTAGTTGACAGTTACAGCTTGGAGAAAGACTTTTTACTCTATGACCTTTTTTAAAAAAGAACTCAGGTGAATGTATTGCTTATGAAAAGAAAAAACCCCAAACCCCCCAAAACCTGAAGTACAGTTAACAAGTAGAATGAAGAGCAGGTGAGAGAAGGCTGTTCTCAATTTTAAGCAGAGGCCCTTCTCTGGGCCTGTGCTGTAGCTGTATTAGATCAGCTTATCTCTGAGGGTGGTGATGTGGGACATCCTGGCACACAGAAAACATGATCGAGAAAATGAGAAAAATGCTCTTACGTTTTTAATATCTGAAGGGTCACTTCGTCGACATGGACCTTTGTTTCCTCAATATCAAGGCTGACACACTGGGTGTTGTTTGTGGAAATAACAGCGTGCAGAGATATATTCAAGTGCACTTGAAATCCCAGTACGGTGATGATGGGTCCGGCCACACTGTGAAAGCAAGATGCAGGAGAAGCTGGGCTTGGCTTCAAGGCGAGGCACAGGTCAGTTGTAAGGCATGTTGGGGATCAGCCTCACATACTTGATAATTAATATATTTGTTAACTGGAGAGAGGAAATAGCTGATCCTTTTTAGCCCTCATGTCTAAGGCTGGTCAGGTTTTGGCCATAAGAACCCAGAGCTGGGCTCATGGTTGTCAGTCAATAATGTTGGACAGAAAACGCTGCTCTAGACAGGTTATAGGCCATCTGTGGACGGTACAAGGCTGTCTGTTACGGGTTCACTTTACGCCAAGCACTCAGGCTTTCTGTTGTGTGAGCAACAGAGTGAGAAGCTCCTCAAGGGACAGAGCCTGTCTTAAAGTGGGAGGTTTTGGAGAAGACTTATGATTCTGACACTGCATATAGTAGTGTCACAGATGTTGAGCGTGAAGGTAGCCTGCCTGGGTTGAAACTCTCCCTGTCACTTCTGTGCCCTAGCTATGTGATTATGAGCAAAGGTAATTGTCTTAAAAAAAAAAAAAAGGTAATTGTGTTTACTAGTCTGCAATGGTTTCCAGTCTGGAAACAGCACTGCTTTTCTGGTATGGGGGTTGAGCAACTTTCATGAGACTCTCGCTAGTTAGGATAGTGGCAGGACACTGTCCAGGACACTCTCACTGTGCCAGGACAGGGAGAGGCACCAGTGTTGTGTGTCTGAGTCCACTGATGCACCTCTTCCCAGTGGAGAGGCCCTGTCCCTCTGATGTCTTCGATGTGCCCACAGCTTCCACTGTTAACACGTGCCTCCCTCACATGTTCTTGCTTCCTGAGGATAGCGACCAACTTTAGTCTCCTTTGGGCCCATATAGAGCCAGACCCAGAGTGGTATTTTTTAACCCCGCGTCAGATAGATGACTGGATGGATGAATGCATGCAGGAATGTTTAAATTCTCTGAGGCCATTTCAGTCCTCTCTGTTTTCCTACCCCTAGAACACAGAATGGCCTGATTCTCCACACAGCCCAGAGTATGTAGAAAGTACATTTCACATAAAGGCAGTGTAGAAGTCACAATAGGATTTGCTTTCTGCCCTTGTTACCCAGGTGTGAGCTTGTGCAGATTTCTCATGAACATCTTTGTTTACACCATTGGAGGATGAAGCTCTCGGTGTATGGTAGCCTACTCCTCCCCATGCAGCTGTATCCTCTTAACCTAGCTCTTGGACACTGGATCTTGCAGCCCCAGTTCTGGGTGATCCAGGGGACTGTTGTGGCAGCAGGCTTACCCTTCTCCACCTATGGTAGCAATACTTCTAGCCATGATGTCAATCCCATCACCCGTCACAGTTGAATTAATGTCCTTTGTCTCCACGTTTTGAATAGTTAATCTGCAAAGTGGCAGCATCAAGAGTCAGTTCTAGGCCTGGGGATATAGCTCAGGAAAATAAGCGCTTGCTTGGCAAGTGCAGAGTCCTGAGTTCAATCCCCGGTACCACACACACACACACACACACACACACACACACACACAGCAATGTGTTAATTATTGAAACCATCCTACTAATTTGATTTGAAACTGTCTCATTGCTATGTTTTTATCAATAAAATTATGGAAAAAAAAAGAAATAAGGAAGCAAAAAAAAAAAAAAAGTCAGTTCTGGCTCAAGAAATCACCTGGACTGTGGGAGAAATACTTTTTTTTTCTTTTTTTAATATGAATTTAAAATTTTTTTTTTTTTTTTTTTTTTTTTTTTTTTTTTTTTTTTTTTTTTTTTTTGAGTGGAACTGGGGATTGAACTCAGGCCCTTGCACTTGCCAGGGAAGAGCTTATTCCTCTGAGCCATCTCCCTGGCCCCCGAGAGAAATACTTTTGCAACAACCAATTAAACCTACTATGCCAATCCACCATTCATTCTTTTGATTTATCTTATTTGCAACTAAAATGCAAAACTGAGTCAAAAATTACAGAAGTTAATAAAAATGTTTTCATATTCCTTTGATCTCTTATTTCTTTTACCCACTCAGTTCTTTAAGCTCAAAAAATCTTTTTTTATACTTTAAATTTTTTTTTTTTTTAGACACAATCTTACTTAGTAGTTCAGGCTGGCCTTGAACTCACTATATAGCTCCGGCTGGCTTCAAACCCATAGCAATCTTTTTGCCTCCACCTCCTAAGTGCTGAGATTACAGGCATATGCCACTATGCTCATTATGAACTCAAGAAATCTTAATGGGTTTCTGGGTCTGGTGGCACATGCTTGTAATCATATCACTCTGAGAGGCATGAGGATCTAAAATTTGAACCCAACCTAGTCAACTTTGTGACTTAGTGGTACCTGGTCCCAAAAATAAATAAAATAAAAATGGAAAAAAAAAAAAGAAAAGAAAATGAAAAGTAAACCACATGAAAACCTCAAAATAAACAGGAAAAAAAATAAAAAAAAATAAAAATGGACTAGGGATGTAGCTCAGTGTTTAATCAAGGCCCTTGATTCAATCCCCAATACTGTTGCCCTGTTTGTTTTTGGTCTTTGTTGATTTTACTGTATTTTTTGGTTGAGTTGTTTTTAAGGGAAAGTTTTTTTTTGGATTTGGTGCTGAGGACCAAATCCAGGGCTTCCCACTTGCTAGGCAAGCATTCTACTGCTGAGCCAAAACCCCAGCTCCTCAAACCCCAACACTGAAGGAAAAAAACCAAAAAAACAAATACCAAAACCTTCATGGTATTTCCTCCTGAGAGGGCACAAGTTGTTGCTTTGTGAAAAGGTGCGGGATGATTTTGTGGGGATTGTTGGAGTTTGAATGTGAGCGTCTTAAATCAGATGATGATGATGATGATGATGATGATTTTGCAGTAGGAGAGATCAAACTCAGGACCTTGTGCTTGCTAGCCAGGCACTTAGGCTGCTGAGCCATCTTCCCAGCCCAATAAACAGATTTTTTTTTTTTTTTTTTTTTTTTTTTGGTATGGAAATACTTAAGGTCAAGGAAGCACTTACCCCAGCAATAACTGTTTTAGGTCAAGGCTTCCCAGAGCACCTTTGAGTGCATCGGTGGCTTCTGATGGCAGCATATTCTTTACTTTTTCCATAGCAGAATCTTTGAGGTTCTTAGCATTTTCAGCCACATCATTCAAGGGCTGGGGAACATGGAGATCGGCACTACCAAGGAGCCCTTTTACAGAACCTTGGCCTCCTACAGAGGCTAGCAGGCTGCCCATACCCAGGTTTTCAGCAGTTTCACCAACTTTGGAGGGGGATGGGAGCTTTGAAGACTTGCCACTCTTGTCGTCCATGCCTAGGATACCACCAAGGCCGCCACCTCCCATTTCTAAGAGTGAATTGATATCTAGCAGTTCCATCAGGCCATTGTTTCCCATCATGTCTAACACCGTCCCAAGCACTCCGACCATGTTAACCTCCTTACACTTCACCAGCCTCTCAATTTCCGGGTGTATAGTGGCATTCAGATCTGAAAAAGATTGAGACAAGTTCCTGCTGCTGTCTGCTGCCTACTTAGCTCAGCCTCCTGGGAGCTGACCCTTCTGAATTGTGAGGCATATATGAACCATGTATTATGCCTACTGGAGAGATCCATCTCTGCTCTTGGCCCACTCCCAGGGCTGCCTGTGTCCCCCTGTTAAGGCTTACATTTGCACCTACACTGGGCCCAGCCTGATGTTGAGCATGTTGTATCTCAAGTGATTTGAGCATACCGTGAAGGAATCTAGATTGGGTTTTGATCTCTGCAGTTCAGGCCCCAGGGTCTGCCCTATCCCTCAGCAGCTGGGTGGCCTAGGCCAGGGTCTTTGTGGTCTTGGAGCTCAGTCTTTGCACTTGTCTAGGAGCTAGTAGCAGGAACTTCTGTATGGGCTGCAGGTGGAGATGGTGGTGGATTGCAAATGCTGTGTAAGGTAGGAGGCAGCTGGAGAGATGATCATGGAACTGACAGATCTGGACTTTTTCTTTCTCTATTCTTGTGATGTCACCCAAGTCCTTTCCCTCTCTAGGCTTCATTTTCTCCTTGTGTGTCACTGGGAAGTGCTGTCATCTGGTCAAGGTGCCAGAAGACGCCCCCTCCCTGCATGAGCTCGTTCTCCTGTGCATTGATCTCTTCAGGACAGGATGGGTGCTGATCATGTATTTCCCTCCCTCTGGGCCATGTCTAGACAGGGATAAGTATATCTCAGGTGCTTGTGGGAAGGGATGGAGGGCAGTCCTCAGCTTTAAAGAGCTGCAAAGTCACCAGGGTTCTATCCTACTGTGCTCTTCTTGGTGGTCTTCATAAATAGTCAGCCTTGCTGGCCTTGGGGATGGATGAAGTGCATTGGAAAGAGGGGCTGCATTTATTGCCCATCTGAGGAACACTTGGAGGGTCCCCTAACAGAAGCCCTCATGAAGCCAAGTGGGTTGCAGGAGCTGCAGCCTTTGTGCTGCTTCCCTTGCTGAGAGCTCTGTGTTCAGGAGAGTCTGCCTGTGTGGGGTGATATGGTCACATCTCAATCCCAGGCTTATGTGGATTGTTGGAACTTTTTAATTAAAACATGAACAAATCACCTCCCAAACATACACTTGAGGGACAGGTAGGTCACCTATTCTGAAAACCTTAGAATATGTAGTACAATCTGTTATATTGATGAGGAATAGTTGTATGTTGGGCCTACGAACATATATCTTAGTAGCATAGCATGCACCCCACGTACACAAAGCCTTAGGCTTGATCCTCAGTATAGCCAAACAACAACAACAACAACAACAACATATCCATATATCTGTGTATCTCTGTCTGTCTGTGGCTGTGTCTCTGTCTTTTATTCCCCTCTGTGTGGGTCAAAGGGGCAGAGAAGAAGAAGAACTATGTAGGCTAGGAGTCTGGGAATGGACAGGACCTCCAGCCCCATGGTTAGGTTTATTCCTTAATCTGTGTTGGGTCATGAGTATTTGCTCTTTTCATCCTTTAACATTTTTCTAAACACCTGAAAGAGCAGCTAACAGTGACCATCACCAAATTGCTGCATGATATGTGCAGAGGTGTTCTCTTACCCCTGTGTGAAACTTTCCTACACTGAAAGTATTTTGTAACAAGAAAGGATGGTGGTAAGAGCTAAACATGTATTCCTCCAGAGGCCAAGTGTGGCTAATGGAGATGTGGGTCTGACCTCTGGCCACTGTGGTTTCTCTCTATTGTCCTGTCCTAGGCCATGGATTTAGATGACTACTAAGTGAGCTGTGAGGGCTTTTCTGCTGACCTTCCATTGTCAATGAACCCTTCCCTCTTCCAGTTTCCCAGATGGAGTCCCTTCTTCATCAAGCCTTTAGTTCCAGAGTTCCTGTACTTTTAGTCCAGGATTAGGACTCATGCATCCCTTCTACAAGCTCCTAAGGCATGCTGGGGTATAGGCAAAGCCATTATTACTTACATTCATTGAGTTTCCCAGAAGATAGGAAGTACTTGGAGGCAGGTGCGCACTGTCCTTCTGGGGTCTCAGATGGCTGTTTGCCGGGTGGAGAGCCATTTTGGATTGAGTAACTTCTGAAATCCCGTTTGGGTGGCAGGGGAAGAACAATAGATTCTACACGGGGCACAGCAAGTACTGAAGGAAGACTTTCTACTGGAGATTCATTTAGCATTTCAACTGCTCCAGCTTGTGTGGCCAGCATGATGGCCAGGGCCCATAGTGTCCACATCCTGGTGGCTGACACCTGCAAAGAAGGGCTTTGTTTGACACATATTCACTGTGGGTTGAAGGGCCAGCATGTATGCTTGTATAGAACAGCTTCCTGGCTGTTAGAGGAGGTGGACTTTCACAGGCAGACCCTAGAGTCTGAACATTGTGTTCACAGGAACACATTCCACTATATGTCCTAAGGAAGGAGCCCTTTTCTATTTTTATTTTAACTTCACAATAATGTCCTCTAAGCACTGGTTACAGCTCTTAGGCACAGTCCGTGAACTGCTCAGTGGCCTGACTCCTTCGGTTACACATTCTTGCCACCTACCTCATCAACAGCCTCTGCACTGTCTTCATCACTGCTTGAGAGTGGAAAATGTGAAATTCCACAGCAACAGTCTCAGGTCTACTTTTTACTGCTGTGTATTGAATAGTATCTGCTTAGCAGGTGCCAGCTGAGTAGGCACTGGTCAAGTGTACTAAGCGCCTGGGGTTCTGCAAGACTTTCTGGGCATTAGCTCCCATCATTCCTTCTATTTCACCTCAGGTCTAAATGTGCAGGCAGAGGGCTGGGTACAGGCAGTGTGCAGCAAGGCCCTGTGTGAGGTGCGCTGGTAATGTCTGGAGATCTGCCGACTCCTCATGCTCACTCTTCTCTCATCATGATTCTCATCAAGTTTTACCTTCTTACATTTAGAATAATGAAAAAAAGGAAAAACATTTAGAATAATGAGGAGGCTTGAGTACGTAACATGTTCCTGAAAGAAGGGAATTCTCTCTGGAATTCCTCACTGGTTCTCTCTCTCTCTCTCTCTCTCTCTCTCTCTCTCTCTCTCTCTCTCTCTGTCTCTGTCTCTCTCTCTCTCTCTTTGAGATAGGGTCTCACTGTGCAGTTTAGGCTGGCCTTGAACTTATTTATATAGCCCAGGGTGGCTTTCAACTCACAGTGATCATCCTGCCTCAATCTCCCAAATGCTGGGATTATAGGCATGCACCACCATGCCTAGATACTTCTTGCCTTTCTTAACCAATCAAATTCTCTCTCTCTCTCTCTCTCTCTCTCTCTCTCTCTCTCTCTCTCTCTCTCTCTCGTTTTTGTGTTTTAGGGAAGGGTCTACAGTGTGTTCAGGGTTTCACTATTAGATCGGACTTACAGTGATCCACCTGTTTACAGCCTCCCAAGAGCTGGGATTATAGGTGTGTGCCACCACACCCGGTCTCAATTGTTGTCTCAGCATTCCTTGGGCTGGCACTGCAGGCCTGGGGATCTAACCCCTGGCCCCTGCATCTGCTTGCAGGTGCTTTAATCTGCTGAGCCATTTGTCCAGTCCTACCAATCAAGTTTTATAAAATCGGGGTTGTGACTCTTTGCTCTTACCTTTGTGAAAGTTGTCAGAATTAACGTGGAGTCATTTTTGGTCAAGTTACATACACCAAAAGTAAGTGCATGAAACTGAGAGGTTATCAAGGAGATGATCTCATGCATGCGTGCCTGATAACAAGAACTTGTCACAACCTCCCACAGAAGCCACTGCAACCTTACACTAAAGATACTTCAGGGTGGGACATGGTGGCACACACCTGTAAACCCAATACTCTGTAAGGCTGAGGCAGGAGGATTCCAAGTTCAAACTCATGTTGGGCAACTTAGTGACTTACTGAGACCCTGTCTCAAAACCAAAAATAAGAATAGGCTGGGGCTGCCGCTCAGTGTAAAGCCCTGGGTTCAATCTCTACTCACCCCTTCCTTAAACAAGCAAACAAACAAACAGACAGAGACTTCTTGTGGTCATTTACCTAGCAGTTGTTTAACCTTGGACTACAGCCACTTTCATTATTAATTTATCACTGCTTCAGAGCATTTTATGCGATCCTCTTCTGTTTGCTTTTGCAAACATCTCCTTAGTCAAGTACAGTGGCACATGCCTGTGGGAGGCTTAGACAGGAGGAGTATCACAAGTTGGAGCCAGCTTGGGCTACATAGTGAGTTCAAGGCCAGCCTGAGCTACACAACAAGACCCTGTCTCAAACAACACTCTCAAATAAATAAAAAAATGTCCTTACTCTAATCTCCTTAAATGCATTCATAGTTTACTATGGCCAGTGTATCCTCAGTAGTATGCAATCCTATTTTAAGATAAATTTAACCTTTAGTGAATCTTTCTGATTGTTATTTAGGTTGATACCAAGCATAAGCATTAATAAAAGCAAGTCATCTGTTGTCAGCACCAAAAAGAGGGTAGTGATGGCATAAATAGGAGTCAATGACAATTCATCACTTTGAATAAATTAATCTTTTTGAATAAACCTAATCCTCTTTAAAAAATTGGATTTTTCATTTTTCTCTCATCTGTGAGGAATTTGAACTGTATGTCATATGATATCTAAACATTCTTTAATGGGAAAAAATCTTATACCTAGGAATGAGTTGATAGCAATATTGTTAAAGTTTGGCAGAACAGAACTCTTGGAGAATCTCAGTAATAAATTTTCCACTCTCTTATAATCACATAACAAGGGCCAGGTGTGGTGGTGCATGATCCATGCCTATGATCCTAACACTTGGGAGGCTGAAGCAGGAGGACTGCTAGGAGTCTGAGGCCTGCCTAAGATACATAGGGTTCCAGGCCAGCCAGAATGCCATGGCGAGACCCTGTCTCAAAAAAACAAACAAAATTCACTTAAAAGATTTTTGGTAACTGCTTGTCTCAAGCTGGGCAAAGTGCTGTACACGGCATTGGCCCAAGGGCATCACTAGACTCTAAACTCAGGAACCCTGGTTGTAGGTCCTTTTGTGAACTGCCCTAAGCCTGTGCCCATCAGAGCTTCCACTTTCTCCTCAAGCCCCTGCTGCAGTAACTTCTTACCTTGTCCAGTGTTGATGGTCCAAGTTCTCAGAAGCTGCTTCTCCTCCTACTCTTGTCTCTGAAGTCCTGATGACAGAGATACACCTCATTTTATAGACCGAAGTCTTTGGAAAAGTCGTCAGAGGAAATGGGACATGGTCCAGGTGTGCTGATAAGGGTTGTGTGTGCAGGCCACCTTCCAGAGTCAGCACCTGCTCATTGTTGTCACATGTTGGTGTCGCCTCAAGAGATGTGAAGAGTGCTTGGAGCTTCTTGGAAGGGGCAGGCAGGCTATGCATGTCCTCTTTTCAGTTTATACTTTTTTTTGGGTGTGTATGGTAGTAAGGATTGAATCTAGGGAGTGCTGAGAGTGCTCCCAGTCATTACTATTATTATTTTTAAAATCTTGAGATAGTGTCTTATTAAGTTGCCCAAGATGGCCTTGAAATTGTGATTTTGTTGCCTCAGCCTCCCAAGTGGCTGGAATAGCAGTTGTGCATTAACACACTTATTTCACACCTTCATAGGCCTGGTATCTAAGAGCTATGAAGGTGCTGAGTGAGTGGGCAAGATTGGAAGCCCTTTTGGTACTTGCCTGGTGCCCAGGGCATAGTGATGCTCAGTACTGAGAGAGCAGCTCCAGATGGGCATCCACGATAGAAGTGTGGGTCCCTGTGCAGAGCGTTCAGGGATGGCTCCTATCAGGTACTGGTGTCCCTACCATGAGAGGTGTGAAGCACCTAGCAGTGCTGGCAGATCTGGGGGGCTTGAGCAAGGAGGCAGGCCAAGGGTGGAGGCCTTGCAAGTGGCCACCCTGGGAGTCAGGTCACTGACTCAACCCCGTTCTCTTTCCTAGTTTCCATGGAAGAGACATGAATGGTGTCAGCACCTGCTGTGGTCCTCATTTGAAGGAATGATGCAGTGGTAGAGCATTTGCCTTGCACATGTGAGGCCCCAGATCAAACTCCATTATCAGAGAGGGGAAAGAAGGAAGGAAGGAAGAAAGAAAGAAAGAAAGGAAGGAAGGAAGGAAGGAAGGAAGGAAGGAAGGAAGGGAAAAAAAGAAAAGCAAGAATGTCCAGTTTCATGTCCACCTGCTATCTCACTCTCCCCTGCCATTTCATTTAATGGCTCTAGGACCTGATTTCTAGGCCTCAGGCCTTCCTTCTCTTTGCAGAGAAGGCCACTAGTTCCTATAGCTAGGAGCTTTGTGAGATTTTCCTGTCTGCTCTTCGTGCTGATGCTAACAAAGGGGTGGCCAGTGCCTACCTCAGGCCTGCTGGGGCTGTGCCTTTGGGCAGGCTCCCCATGTAGGTGTGGGGTGCTCTCCAGTCTCACTGGGGATCTCATTCTCTGATGTCAACTAAAATTCTTTTGCCAAAGAACCCATTTGGGGCATTGCTGAAATGTCAGATAAAAAGAAGAAAAAAGTGACAGTTGACCTTTTCTCAGAGGGCAGAACTTGGAGTTTTACATGTGATGATCAGTAGAAGACAAACCCCAACTGTCAGGGGTCTTATTTTTCTTGGACATTTGAGGGAACTTGAGTCATCTTTTAGATGAAATCTGCGCCACTGGGAGTGGATGTGCCCTTTGATGTGTCCAGAGGAAGAATCCAGTTCCAAAGGTGGGAAGAGGGCACATCCGGGAGGCAGCCTCTGATGGCCCTTGGGGCCTTCTGGTTCTTTGTGTTCCTCTCCTTCAGCTTTAGGAGGCGGGGTGGCCATTGCACCCCATTAATCCAGGATGTGCACAAGGTGTGTCATGCAGGCTGGCTTATCAGCTGGGAGCAAAGACCTCACAAAGACATGCTTGTCTGGAGCATTAAGAGCTTTGATCTGCTCTGCGCACAAAAGGCTGACCAAGGCTTGGCTGGGATCACAATTGTCAGTGGTAAAGCAGGTGCCAATCCTTAATGGTCTCTTTGCGAAGAGACCACAATAGACTGGGTTGAGCCCAAGTTGTCCTGTTGTCAGATATATCAGGATATTGACCTTTCATAGCTGTTTCTTAAGTCACACACACAATGCAAACACTTGTGGACATGTTTATCCTCTTGTCTGGTCACCTGGAACACAAAGATCATGTTTGGCATTTTTGTTTCAGTGTTTTCTGGAATAATTAATCTCAAATCTTTGGCTGTCACAGTTCACAGGATCCTCTTGTAAGGTCTCTGTATTCCTAGACCCTCTGCATTCCGTG